AATCCATATTATACTCATATGATCCCCCACCTATAAAATAGGAACACCAATCCATATTATACTCATATGATCCCCCACCTATAAAATAGGAACACTAATCCATATTATACTCATTTTTTTGCTTGACATAAGAATCAGATTAGATAATATAGGCAAAAACTCTTTGTAAACTGCTAAATATGTTAGATGGTAATATAATTATATTGTGCTTAAAAAAGAACTGTACTAACTACTGCCTCTTTCTTTGGTATTTTTTTCTTTTTAAAATTCAGCTTTCCACAGGCTACAAATCAAACATTGCTAGACAAATTTAAGCATCAACATGAAGAGAATTCTTACATCGAATTTCCAGCTGTTATGGAGCCTGCTTTCATTATAAAACATTATGCTGGAAAAGTAAAATATGGGGTAAAGGTCAGTGAATTTCTCACTGGGTATACTTTCAAGACAGAGGTATGTTTTTGATTGTATGTGGGTCATGAAAGTTTGAGATATACAAAAATTCAGAAACATAAAATCCATGCAGCTGGAAACAAATGAAGCCCTTTAGCCCTCCCAGCAACACTGATAAGCCCAGCAAGTTGAAACTTGAACAGGTGAATCATAAAGGACAATATTGACTGTGTTTCTTGGAAGTGTAATAATGGACCATAACATAGTCTCTCTCCAAACTTCCCTAGTAACCTATGTGTCACTGTTCCTGGTTCACTACCCTCTATAGTTTGTGAAGATTCTTTTTCAGTAATGGAAACATTTTATAAAGATAATTCTAAAATTTGGATTCTCTTAATAGGTAAGGTAATGTTTCTGTTGGTTTCTGTCTGCAGATAAGGCTGATGATGTCAATTCATTCTAATAACCTTTCACATCTGAAGTAGATAACATATATATGTCTTAAACAGACTCATTCATCCACTTAATTTGTTGAATTTTCCCTTCTCTGTACCCTTAAGGCCTCACAGAGTCTTCATGTCTTCACGCACCATTAGGTATTTGTGAGCTTGCACTTTTAATTTATGTATTGAAACTCCTAACTCCTGTGAAAGGGGCTCTTAAAATTTTGTTGATTTTTTTGGTTATTGGTGAGTCTATTACTCTCTAACCACTTGATGTTTAAACTTGCCGTTGGAGTTACTTAATTTCCGAGGCAAGGCAATGAAATTAGTGGAGGAATATGTTTTTTCCTGGGTCTTGAGGTGTGTGTCTTAAGATCATTTATTCATCGATTTGTTGATTTATTTATTCAAGAAGCATTTATTGAACATAAACCCTGTGCCTGACTCTGTGCTTGGTGTTTTAATGATAAACTAGAAAGACATGTGCCTGATTTACATACATATGTGTATGTACAGATGTGTGTATCTACATATATAACATTGACAAATGGGCTGTGTGCTATAAATGAGTGAATGGGGTCTATGAGAGAAAGTAGTGAAATAATAGATTGTGAAATTGTGGATTCTCAAAACACCTCTCTACGAAACTTAAATGTTAAAAGATGACCTGAAGTAATGTTACATTGATGAGGAAATGGGGTGATAAAAATTATAGGCTACAATGTAGGAAAGAGTTTGATATGTGGAAATAATTGAAAATATGTTGGTGCTATTAGATTATCATGAGCAAGGAGATAGTGATGGTAAAAAGAATTTGGAGAGTGGACAGCAGGTTAATTTTTTTAGGGCTTCAAGGTCAGGTCAGAGGATTTCGTTTTATTGAAATTACAGGGCACTATGAAAAGATTTTAAGCAGAGGATGTGACTTGAGTCTTTTAAATGATTGTTTTGATTACTTTGAGGAAAAGAGATAGCAGAGGGTGAGAATTGAATCTGAGTGATCAGTTGAGTAGCTTTTTATTCCTAGTTGAGATGAAAGGTTAAAGTAAACTGAAGTGTTCAAGTTGGCAGTAGACATTAGGGAGACCTAGGTGATTATGAGGTATATTTTAGAGCTAATGTCCTCAGACTTTATTGATGGAATCTAAATAACTTCTAGCTAGAGCTAATGGGTAAATTGGTGGTGCCAGTTTTTGAGATCAAAGTGACAGGAAAAAATGATTTTTAGAATAAAATTAAAAATACAGTTTAAAAAGTAAAACAAAAGAAAAACTCAAGCTATAAAAATATTGAGCATAACAGGAGGTACATAATATGTGCAAATTTAACCTATTCAGCTTTTTCATGCCCCTTCCTAGCTCAGTCTCCCCTCAGAGGCAGCCAGTATCTTAACTTTTATCATAGTTATGTTATTGTTATTAAATTTTATATAAATTGAATTATATGGCATCTACAATTGGGTCTGTGATATTTATCCATGTTACCAGACAGATTGAAAGTAAAAGGATGAAGAAAGGATAAGAGCTGGCTTAATTTTATTAATTGTTGGCCAAAGTAGATTTTAAGGCCGGAAATATTACTGGAGATAAAAAGGGACATTTCATGATGAAAGGGGCCAATTCAACCGGAAGACATAATTACCAAAAGTTGTATATACTTAATGACTTTGATTCTAAATATATAAAGCAAAAGCAAAGCAAAAGAAGACCTAGACATCTAAGTCCACTGTCTTAGTTGTAGATTTTAACACACCTCTTTCATAACAAACAGAACAAGCAGACACAAAATCAATAAAAACAGCAGTACTAAACAACTGACCTAATTAGCATATCAGCAGGATAACTGGATAATCGTCAGGTATTAAGAAATTAAGCAAAACTCTTCTGAATAAACCATGAGTCCAAAAAGAAATCACAACGTAAATTACTTATTGTAATTATCCATTGACATTATAACATTTATACTGAACATTTATGAAAATACATCACATGAACATTTTAGGACTTTATAGAAGATACCCATCCAGTTAGCTACCCAGAGCAAAAGTCACTTATCTGTCATCAATGACTGTTCAATTATGTCACCTGTTATCTTGATTTTAATAATTAATTTAAAAGAACCCACTGTTACTTTTTTCATGTAGGATTTCCGGGAAAAAAATACAGATCATATGCGCCCAGATATTGTAGCTCTTCTAAGAAGTAGCAAGAATGCTTTTATCTCTGGGATGATTGGAATTGATCCTGTAGCTGTTTTCCGGTGGGCAATTCTCCGAGCTTTTTTCAGAGCTATGGTTGCTTTCAGGGAAGCTGGAAAAAGACACATTCACAGAAAAACTGGTAAGCTATAGTTATTCTACTATGCTTTATCTTTTGCTTTTTACCTCTTCATCTTTTATTTTTTACCTCTCATAAGAAGTAGAATTTTAATAATTTTTATTTTGTTCTATTTTCTTGCCATACCCTAACATCATATTTCAGATCTGAGGAATTAAGTGACCTTTATGTGATTAAATGGATATATGTTGTATGTGTATAAGGATGTTCTGGTATATTTTTATTACCATTTTTTGCTGTGTATTATGCACATTTTTGCCCACATTTTTGAGGAAAAATAAGATGGGCATTATACAAGGGTAGCACTAATTCCATATCTGTGTGTGTATTTTTGTTTTATTTATGCTTATGTGTTAAAACTTTAATTCTAGAAAGCAATAATAGCGTCTGCATGCAAAATACTATACCCTGCAATATGGTAATATGGTAGCATGCCCCCACCATGCTACCCCCTTCTTGTCCGCCCCCTCACCAGGCAGGCACTGTGGTTGTAGGAGCCTCCAGCCTGCCTGGCCAATTGTGCTAGATGCTGACAAACTGCCACAGCTTCTTCAGGACTGTGAAAAGAGGGCAGAAGTGTCCGCGAAGTGGTGCCTCTTAAGAAAGTGCAACCATTTCCACCATCCTTTAAAAAATTAAAGTGAAAGATTTTTTTTTTCCTGAAAGTTTGGGCCAAAAACGTGGGTGTGTCTTATGCATGGGAGCACATTATATGCTACAAAATATGGTAATAGATACTGATAGGAATATTGAGTGGAAAACATCTGGTATTTATTAGGCACTTAGTAAGTCATTGATATATTTTTGAATAAAACTGAACAATATTGAAGTTAAAATGATCATTTATTGATTTAGAATTTAATCCTGGCTCGGCGCCTATAGCTCAACCGGCTAAGGCGCCAGCCACGTACACCTAAGGTGGCGGGTTCGAATCCCCAGCCCGGACCCGCCAAAAACAACAATGACGGCTGCAACCAAAAATAGCCAGGCGTTGTGGCGGGCGCCTGTGGTCCCAGCTACTTGGGAGGCGGAGGCAGGAGACTCGCTTGAGCCCAGGAGTTGGAGGTTGCTGTGAGCTGTAATGCCACGGCACTCTACCCAGGGGGACAGCTTGAGGCTGTGTCTAAAAAAAAAAAAAAAAAAAAAAAAAGAATTTAATCCTGATATCTTTCTCTGTTTTCCTATACTATTATTTTTACTACAAGTGAAACATAATTTAATGTCAAAGTATAAATTAGGGGAAAGAAAAATTGGGATGGGGTAATATAATACAGTGGAAAGATCCCTTCTATAGTTAATCCAGTGTTACTTCTTCTCTTGACTAATTTTGTGACTATGAGCTGTTATTTTTCCTGTAAAAGAGAGTTAATACTGCCTTTAAAATTAAGAGGATAAAGTCAGATAATACCTGTTAAGCATCTGTTCACAAAATATTCATTTTCTTTTCCTCTTACCCTTAACTCAGTTCATTGGATTTTACTATGAAATTTAGAATTGGGTAAAGCAAGATACTTTTTTGTGTGCCTCCCCCATAAATCATAAAATCTCTCATCTCACATTCTGTGGGAGGATAACCTCACAAGCAAGCACTTTTGGCCTATTGGAAACTATACTGTTGTTTGCTGTAGCTGTAATCCAGTCCTGGATAGTCCCTGGCTGCATAGTGAGGATTTTCTGCTGTATACACAGGAGAGATTTATACCCTTCAGTTGAAGTGTGATAGGGCTTACTAGTCATGACGACTCCCACACTGACTTATATGACTTTTTGGGATGTGTAATAGCAATAAAACTTTAAATTAAATTTTGAATTATCTGAAATGAATAAATATATTAGGGAGATTGTATTTCTAAAATGAAAGGCAAAATAATTGAACTTAGATTCTGTTTTTAGATTGTAATTTATGTGAACTGGTCTTTATAGGTAGGGCGAATTATAGTTTATTGCAGAAATAAAGTACTATGTCAAACCTGCTTTGCCTTTTAAATTTGATTTTTAAGAGGTTATCCTTATTAAAAGCTTTAAGAAAAGTTTTTTTTCTTTAGAAAGGTGCTCTCTTATTTATAATGAAAAACTTTTTTTTGTTTGTTTTTTTGAGACAGGGTCTTGCTCTGTTGCCCAGACTAGAGTATAGTGGCATTAGTAGCTCTCTGCAACCTCAAATTCCTACGTTCAGGTAATCCTTCTGCCTCAGCCTCCCAAGTAGTTGGGAATATTGACATATGCTACCACACTGGCTATTTTTTTTTATATATTATGTAGAGATAGGAGTCTTGATATGTTGCTTAGGCAGCTCTTAAACTCCTTGCCTCAAGCAATCTTCCCTCCTCAGCTTCCCAAAGTGTTAGAATTACAGGTTTGGGCCACTGTGCCTGGCTATATATGACAAACTTCTAATAAATAAAACCATTCAAAATTGATTAATATCCTGCTAAGAGAAGAAACTTTTCCTGTATTTACTATCAAATATGTCACTTCTTATTCACCTGTTCACATTGTATGTCCCTTTGGTGTTTAAAATTATTATCTGTGAAAGCCAGTTGTTGTTTATGTCTGTTATTATCAACTTAGGCAATGACATACAATGTTATTAATGATAAACAAAATGAACCTATATTTTTCTTACCTTGTTAAAAGTCCAGATTCCCCTTATTTTCTAATCTGGTTTTCCTTCCTGCCATCTTGAGGCCTGATTTAAGCAGATTTGTTTCTGAAAGTAATTGTTTATATTACAATATATTAGTGTCAATGGCAGCATTTGCTTTAGCATTTTGCTCTTTCCACTCCATTTCTTACCCACGATCTTTTGGTGGGTTTAAGATAAAGGGACACTATAGAGTTAGAATATTAATAGAATATTAATTAATATTCTGAGTAGTATTGTTAGAATAATGGAAGCTCACATTATTAAAAATGGAAGCTCACAATTGTGAAAGTGTTTTAAGTAGTAGATTCAGAATTTTTATAATGACCATAAATTAGTAAGGAGGCATAATAAGATAAATAGGAATTAGAGATTATTAAAGGCAGAAGCAGGAAATATGGACCACAGACAATGAGGTGATCAAGTCTAGATCTTGAATGAGAAAAAGAGGGTAAAGATAATACCTTTAATGAAGAAAGAAGATGTAGGGTGCCTCCTGTGCCTGAAAGGAGTAGGGCGCCAGCCCCATATACCAGATGTGGTGGGTTCAAATGTAGCCCCAGCCAAAAAAAAATGCTGCAAAATAAAAAAGAAAGAAAGAAAGGAGATGTAGACTTGTAGAATTACAGTGTATTTTCACTTCCCTTTGGGTATCTTTATTAAAAAACTTAATTACACTCTTAGTTAATTGTCACGAAACACCTGATGGTAGACACAAAATAACCCTGTATTTCCTCAGATAATTCCCTGATATTTTTTTCTCTTTATCAGGTCAGCTGAACACAACTGAGAATAACAAGTTAAAATCTTTTTACTGTTTTTTTTTTATAGACTTCCAAATTAAAGGACAATGCCATCTTAAGGCCTATAAATCAAAAGTTATTAAGCTATTTTTGAGGAAAATTTGTTATAATTGTAGAGTGTATTTTATGGAGATCAGGCTACTGGAAACCATAAAATGTTCTTAGTGGAGTCACATAAATAGGCAGTTTTAGTGAAGCTGCACATTGGCCCTGCTGTGAGGAAGAATGAGAAATTGTATTGATTTGTCTGGTCAGCAGTGAGGTAATAGATAACAGATGTTCTGCGTATATCATATACCTTGCCTCAGATTTCCTCCTCTCGAATAAGGAAGAGGCTGTGCTAGAGAGTACTATTTAAGCATCATGAAGAGGATAGAAAGGAGATGATAACTTGACCATGAATTATACCGTTTGTAGAACTGAGGACAGTGATACTTTATTGGTTCTTTTGGAGTTACTTAAAAGCATAGCCAAATAAGAAATTAGTCTAAAAAGCATACACAAAACTGGGAATTCAGGTATGGTATCAGGGTCAGAGGCATGAACAAGAGGTTTCAAAATATTGTTCAATTTTTCTACCAGGAGACACGTATACAGATACAGAGTTTTAAGGGTTTCCATATAAATTGTTCCTTTTTCTCCTTCCCTTCCTGTGCAATGGACTGATAATTCTGATGTGCTCTCATTTGTTTCTGCAATCGGGAGACCAGTACTAGTGACTATTTTCAGAAATGACTAAGTGCTAAGACTTATTTGGATATTACCGTAGGTCTAGGATCTCTCTGCAATACTCTCCCTGTAGTTCTACCCAGTACTTCAAGAGATTTAAATAGATTTTTGTTGAAAAAATGAAAATATAACTGTTTCTTATAAATTATTTCTGTATTGGGCACTATAGCATAATGATTAAGAGTGGGGTTTTGGATTAAATATTAGTGAAATGGTGGTTAGAAAATTCTCTCTTCCATAACAGCATTAAGAACACTAGTGAAAAATATCAGAATAACTTTGTCTGAACTTTGGAAATTAATCAAAGGCTCATAGTTATTTGAAAAGTACTTATATAAGAACAAGGTTGGGCTGGTGCCAGTGGCTCAAAGGAGTAGGGTGCCAGCTCCATATGCCGGAGGTGGCGGGTTCAAACCCAGCCCCGGCCAAAAACTGCAAAGAAAAAAAAAAGAAGAAGAAGGTTGAATATTAGTATAAGACTGCACTTTGTGGAATTTTTTTTTTTTTTTTTTGCAGTTTTTGGCCGGGTCTGGGTTTGAACCCGCCACCTCCAGTATATGGGGCCAGCGCCCTACTCCTTTGAGCCACAGGCACCGCCCCCACTTTGTTAATGTTCATTCTTCATACCCCTTTCATCTTGGGTCCGTAGTAGCCTTGAAAATCAGCAGCCTGGAATTGTGATGAAAATCAGTAGTGTGCTAACCACTGGAAGGAGTGGAAGGGTTTGGAGCTCCATCACCACCCCATTCCCACAGAATTTTCATTATCCACCTGAGTGGTTTCCTGAATTACTCTACTTGCAAGACTTGTTTTTAACCTGATTTGGA